TCTTTAGATACATGGTTATGACTGAGATATTGTTATGTAAAGATGAAGAGTGAAAATGAAATATGAGTTTACATTGTAATGTAGCGTTCTATGATTGCTATTATAATCACTATACAATTTTATGAAATGGGTGATACATATATATATATATATTTGAATTTTGAGTGAATGTGGTAGATGTTGGTAGTTTAGCGCAAATATGTAAGAAATGATTTGATTTCATACTGCGCGAATTTTGAAATGAGAAATAGAATATTTTAGATAGTCATTTTGGTTTGTAATGTATCTGTAATATAATTCTGACCTTTTTTTTAGTAAGGCAAAATTTTATTGTTTTTTTTATATTTTATTTTGTATCTTGCTATTTTAATTTTTTTCTATTATTATTTTTTTTCTTTGGTTAATTTTAACTCTATATAAGTAGTTAAGCAAACTATTTAAATTATTGTAGATCATAAGTGATATATATATGTAATTTAAATGGAATCATGTGTATTGTGCTGTAAGTTTTTTGATGATACCGAATGGTGTGCCTTGATTGGCTGCCTTTTAAGCATATGATTTTATATTTGTTACACTATTATATAGATCAGATCATGTAGAAAAACGTGTGTAGTGAGAATTTTTATATAAGACTATATTTAACATGTTTGGTAATCCTTTTTTATATATTTTATTTAGTCTTGTATATTTATTTATTACTGATACATTTGTCTTAACTGAGCTAAGATCAAAGTTAATAATGTTAATAGATTTCTACGTGGGAGCTCTGCTTATTGCGACGTATACTTGGCTTTCTGCGAATATTTTTTGGTCTACGTTTAATATCATGTGAGGTAAGGTTAATCCTTGAGTTTTGTGTATTGTAAATACGAATGCATTCTGAAGAGTAAATTGATATCTTGATGCTAGATTTCTGTTAATATCAAAGTAGACCTTTTCTTTTTGTATGTTTAGTTTAACGATATCGGTGCCAGTTGGAAATGTAGCTTCAACATTTTGTTCGTTTATTTTTTAGTAATTATACCGATTGTGCTATTACAAATATTGTGGTCAAATAGTTTATTGTTTAGGAACATAACTCTTGCATCTTCTTTTAAAATTAATTTATTGGGTAAGTTTGTATAATGATTAAAATTTAGATTGGTATGGTTATTTGTGTCTAGTAGTTTACGATTGAGGGTGTTAATAGCTTTTGAAATTATTGAGATTATTCTATATTCATTATTCAGGAGGTTTTCATATATTATTTTGTTAATTTCTTTAGCTATTTCCTGTATGCCTACAAGGTGAGTAGATGTAATAGCATTGTATTCTAGATTTGAGTTTTCAATTTTATCATTAATCATTTTTTTTGAGTTTTCAGATAGGCAGCCATATCGTAATTCTTGAAGAAGATTATAGAAGCTTGGGTCATTTCTTTGTCTCTTGAGTTAGATTAGAAATAGGGAGAAGAATAGTCTTCAGACAGGTGAGTGAATACATATGATGCATTTATTGGTGGTAATTAAAAGAGATCACTTATTGTGAATTAAGCCAAATATATTACTTATGAATGAGAGTAAATCACTAGAGACCATAAATACTTCTTCTATTATTATGGTTTCTATTTTTTTTAGGTTTTCTTTT